ACCTCCCTTTGTGGGGACCCTCTTTGGGAATCCTTACTCTGATGACTAGCTGAGGCTGGCCCAGGGTTAGGTGACCTTCATTATCGCAACCCTTCCTGCCCCCATCTTTGCAAAATTCCAAATTAAATCAGTTTAATTGAAATCAATGCTTGTAGCTCCCAGGTGTCTTTTCCAGCCCACTCAGGTCCTCTTGATTGATGGCTAGTGATAGAGTATTTTATTTTTAATAACATCAACCTATCAGTACGTATTATAGGATTATGAGAAAATTCTTTTTTAATTCTTTATATTCCCAGACCAGTATGGGATGTATTAGTAGAATGGTTACTTTTTTTTTGCTTTTTTTTAGTTGTAAGGCAGGTACTCTGGTTGAAGGGAGGGTGGGAGATGGTCTCCACTCATTCAGGCTTCCTCTTGGCCTCCCTTGCCACCTCAGTCATTTCCACAGAACCCGACATTGGTATGTGGGAAATAGTACGGGTTTTGGAGCCAGAGCTATCTGACTTCAAGTTCTAAATCAGGTATTTACTACCTTTGTGACATTGCGCAAGATACTTTGCCTCTACTGGCCTCCGTTTTCTTATTCTTAAAAGAGAGGTGACATATCTACTTCTCAAGATTAACTAAAGATGAAGCACACAAATCTAAAGCGTCTGGCACTCAGTAGGCACTCAACAACTCAGTTTTGTTTTCTAATTTCTCTAATTTTCAGCTCACAAAGTGGGGTCATAAACAATAGGGGGCTAATGAATTAGTGTAAGTATATGAATAGCGTAAGTATAGAATTCTAAAAGTGGAATTGTTGTATCAAAGGGTCCATGCTTTTGAAAATTTTTGTGGTTACTTATATTAGGGAATAAAACAAAACAATAATGTGACCTTTTACCTCGTGGCTGGTACAGATGCTAGACTCAGCTCCAATAAACATTTATTATGTGCAACACGCCATGCAGGGCATGTCCATGTCCACTACCTCACAACCTCTTCCTGTTGGCAGCTCACTATTAGCACCTCTGATTTTTTTTTTTAAAACTTGATTAGGTAACATACTATGTGAAAGCGAGGCATAGTAAAACATAGTAAAATAAAAAATAATTCATGCAATGTTAATCTAACACACACTGAAGGACATGAATACTTCTTACTATATTACATGATAACTAGGCATATGATAAAAATGCACTGTAATTAGTGTTCTTTTTATTCTTAATCACATATATTATAGGTTTCTCTTTTCCTTTTGTTAGCTCCAGTAACTATTTTAAACATCAGAATTTATGTTTCACTGGTCACACACATAGTTGAATGCTTATGGAGATAAAAATGCCAGCTGTGCTTTTTCAATACGTAGGGTTCCCTGTGAACACCCAACCTATCCCACACAATCCACGGCCCAGGGTTGAGGGGCCTTCACTCTTCCCCACCTTTCTTTAGTTTCTTTTCTCAAGTACACAGAACTTGGGAGTTAGAAAACCTTGGTTTAATCCCAGCCTTGCCATATATGACTTATATGATAATGAGTTTCTCCTTATTTAAAGTTGATTTAAAAGAAACTATAGTGTTTTCACAGGGCTACTGTACCAATCAGGAAAAATGCTGGATGCAGAACCTGGCATAGGAAAGGTATTCAATAACCAAATCTACCCTCCAGGTAACTTAAGGACCTAAGGTGGCAGCCATCTAGACTGAAAAGCCATGCGATGGGGTGAGCAGGGGTGCATCTGTCTGGAGAAGGAGAGAGTGTGTTCTTCCACTGTGGGATTTGGGATGGGGGAAGTGCGGAGCAGCAAGAACAGACTGGATTCCCAGGAGGTGGGAGGCAGAGGGAGGGGTAGAGAGGACTGCGATTATGTTGCAAAATGTGGACCTTCAAAAGATGTTAATGGTTACATGGTGCCAAGCATGTAAGCTTGCTACAACATCCCTGAGTTGTGACCAACCATCTAGGCCAGGGAACCCACTTTCATATACCACTAGTGCCATTCCACTGTACTACAGATCAAATCCATGAAAGGCTCTTCTAACATGGGTCTCAAATTTGTTCCCTCTTATTGCCACTCAATGGCTGTTTTCTTAGACCCAGAAACGGTCCAGTTCCTCCTTCATGTGACACGTAGAGACGGAATTCCAGTAAAAACTTTGGCTTAAGCTTTTTAGAGCCTACTCTTGGCCTCACTTTTAACATAACAAGCTGGATTCAATCATTTTCAGTTGGTCTCAGGATATCCCTGTGGGCTGTGAATTACAGTGGAGCAGGGGAGAGAGAGCTCCAGGCAGGAAACCAATGTGATAAGGTTATCTTATCTCAATAATGCAGGCAAGAAGGGATTTGGATCTAAGTAATGGAAAGAAGTAAAAGTGAGAGCCTGTGAAGGAAGAATTAATAAAATAAAGCTGCTATAGAGGGTCAGAGAGAAAGGAAGGGAATCAATTATGACCACGAGCTTGCGAAAAAGAGTGTCTCGGAGAACACTGGTGCCAAGGACACGTACGCCAGTCAGACTAGGTTCTAGGTTTGGCAAAGGAGATGAATGGTGATGTTTGAAATATCAAGGATGCAGAGAATATCAGAGGTTGGAGATAGGAGGAGGTGGTACAGAGAAGAGTTGAGCCAGGAAATGTTGGCATGGTGTCCTCTTCAGCTTATAAGGAACCAATGAAGCCATGGTGATAGATG